GCTTGCTGAAGCTGGACATGCTGACAATTTTTTTTTTAATGTCTTCAAACTGAATCTTTGAAAAGATTAAATGAATAAGACCATTGTTCTCAATAAACCAATTAATTAAAAACCTTTTGCAACCATCATCTGGTGACATCAGCATCTATTAAAAATTTCAAGTTATCCAAACATGGACCTTGCGATTTTAATTATAGGAATCTGTATTGTCTGAATACAATACATGAGGAAGAACAAACATTTGTCCTTCCATCTACAGTCAATCTCAGCTCCTCAGCAGTGCTTACGCACTGTGCTTGACTGAACAGGCCAGTCACAGAACACAGAATCATGGAATTCGATTCACCTACTCTGGTACAAAATCAGTGTTTATAGACATCTTAGGCTGGATACTATTGTTCCAAAATCACACACAATGTGTTGAGACTTGAGAAAAAGATAGCCAAGAATACAACTAGTGAAAAAGGTCAATACCAGCAAGATTCTAAGAAGAATGTCTTAGAATTCTATTCATTCACACCAAAGGGGAAGAGATAAAGTGCTTGCCACCATTGCTTTCAGCAGTTTCACAATTTATGGAGTTCTCTTCCAGTTTCTTTAGAAAGCAAGATATTCAAAGTTGGTCTACTGTAACTTGAGATAAGTCCTTCTCTAGAGAGACATTTTCAGCTAGATCTAATAAAATCTTCATTGTCTATCCTAGTGTGAGATTTTTTTAAAGTCATCTACTGTTTGCCTGACAACCAGATTAAGCTGATTTGAATATTTAACAAATTAGAGGATGCCATCAACGAATGAAATGCTTTTGTTCTCCAAGTCCATTCTGATCCTCTGAATGTTCTACGGCGTTTCAAAAGGTGTAAGGTAAAACTGACCCCAAAGCAGCAGAGACTAAATCCCTGTGAGGTTCCCCAAAAACCAGCAAAGTGACAGTGGTAGATTGTCGTCGTATTTGTTAGAGTAAAAGCTGTCATACTATAATCCAATTCTTGTCTCAACAAATAAAGGAATTTCCCAGACCAAGTACATTCAGAGTAGGTAGCACATGCTGCCATTTCATTCTGTTGAAAGGTTCTTTGCATCAAGCGAATCACAGCAAACAAATGTTGAACAGCATGAAGACATACCACAGCATTAATTACCTGTTTTTGACCTGACCAGGGTCAAAACTATTATTCACTTCTTTGACAAGCCTACTTTTATCATTTTTTACATTGTCATATGCTAGAACAGCTGCAAAAGTTATTCTTTTTATGTCACAACTGGGTTTGAAAAAAACAATTAAAACTTCTGTCACAGCAGGAGCGGTACTTTTCTACAGAACATTTTATGAACAGCTTCAAGGTCAGTTTCCTGGACAACTTTATAGAAACCTACAAGCCAGCAATCAGTCACAGGCATTTGCCAATTCATTTCCACTACAGCCTTGACTCTTCAAATTATCTAAGTCAGTCAAAACCATTGCTATTCTGAGCTTTGTTGTTACCAATTTTAAAAAAAAAAAAAAAACCACAAATCAAAGCTGTTAGGCTCCTCTGGAATAGATGGTAAATCATCACAAAAGATTTTATAAAAATTCATGAATTAATTACTGATAATTTTTATTTTAAACTTAAGTTACATTATTTAAAACCCCTGGCTTCTCAACTTTTGTTTTTATGCAAGAAACATCCCAACTTTTTAACGTGATTCTCAAAGTGCTATATTGAGATTATAGATAACTGAACAAATATATAAATAAAATTAAACCTGCAAGCAAGTTAATTTGGTTACTTCTCAGAAAGTAATTTAAGATTTCTTTTTTAAGGTAGGCTGTCTACAAATTCTACATTAATAGTTTTCATTTCTGTGAAGAAATTTTATGAGGAGAATCTAGCTAGCCCTCTTCCTAAAGACTGAATAAGAAATGATTCTGCTTCTAACTGGAATAAAATATGTAATGACTAATACCAACCATTCAAAGGAGGATTCAGACATTACAAAGATATGAATACACTTAAAATACAGCTCCGTCAGTCTAAACATACATTACCTGGTTGTCCAACTGCATTCAATCGTACCATGAGATGCCTTTTGTTTGGACAGTGTAAGTGAACGTCAGAAAGTACAGTGTCTCTTTTAAATGTGGGGTTATCCATCTCCTCCTCTGTTACATCTACCATGATGTGCTGGTGAGAGGAACATCTACAGTACCCAATAGCCCCCTATGAAGTGCTGTCACAAAGTGATATGACACTCTTCTACTGACAGGCATCAGGTAACAGTTTTGCTCAGCAAGATAACCTCATGACATAGTTTCTGAGAAGACCTCAGGCAAGATGTGACCATGCAAGCTCCACCATGGTCCAATAAGACAGCAAGCTGCGCATCAGGATATTCAACCTAAAATCAAACACAGACACCTTTGAGTGACATCCTGACACCGGTTGAACATTGCTCCAGCAATATTTTAGAAGATAAAAATCAGATTACACTGTCCAATAAAATTGCAGTGCTACAATGCTCTCTTTTACAATGCTCCGAAGAACCATCAAATACATAATTGCTAGTAGCTCACTGGCAGACACTGCATATTTTAGGAAGAGCTACTGATTAGCTTGATTTAAACCACCCCCCCCCCAAAAAAAAAAAACCCAGATGTTATCATGAACGCACAGACTTACAATGCTAAGTCAAGGTTTTCAAAGGAACATAAGGCCTTGTGTGGACAACTTCACCATTTTATGGGGCCTTGTTCTTCATAGGAATCTCTGAATTTTCTCAGAAATGGACACAATTACAGAATGTATTATCATAGGTTAGTCCCCCAGATTTTGTAAAAGGAGTATCTGCCCTTCCTGGAGAAAATTCAGTTCCTTTTATATGCCTCCACTAATTGGGCAGTTAATGTCTCCTGTCTTTGGCGCTCTTTATTTTTCCCCAGAAAAAAATATAAACACCTGAAATCATCCTCATTACCTAATGTCCAAGGCTGGGTTGTCTCTCTGTCCTAAGGCAAAAGCAAATGAATTATCCCTTATGAACAGAAAAATAAAGAGGACGTTTATCTCCCTATGCTCTACAAAACTCTACATTTTGTGAAGGGTATGTGAAACACCGATGAACCGTAGATCTGAAACAAAATTTATGTTTTTAAAAACTGAGATGACAAGCTTAGATCGCACACACAAATCACCAAGCATTATATGAATGATTTAGCTAACAAAGACACCCAGGTCTCACCAGCTATGAGCGCCCCTAATACCCCTTATGTAAAAACTGTTGATGCCATTTCCGATGTTGCCATTAACATCTTGGAAGATTAAGCTAAATTTTCTATTATCTGCTTGTGCTAGAACAAGATCATAAATATATAGGCTTAAAATGCTTCAAGTTATACAGACAGCCTTCATAACTTTAATTATCAAGTTCTATTAACTTTTGCAAAACCTCATCCAGCCTCCAAACCTGCCCTTTGCCAGCAGAAATCTGTGCACAACCTACATCCACGCTTGATGCAAAGCAACAAAACGCAGTTCCTCCACCACCTGCGGAGGAGACAAGCCAAGGCAGCGCTATCAGGGAAACGCCGGGCGCCGTTTCGCGGTCAGGGCAGAGCCCGAAGCCCCGAGTTTCGGCCTGCCCGGCGCAGCGCCCGCAGCCAAAGCCTGTTCTTCCCGAGAAGCCACCGCCTCCTGCTCGGGCAGCGCCAGCGCAGCCCGGAGGCGGGTTTCCAAACACCGGCACGTTTCCAAAGGAAGCCGCCGCCGCCCCCCT